TCCTGCCACCAGCTCCCAGCTCACTGTCCCAGCCCTGCCACCAGCTCATCCACCCCAGCCCTGCCACCAGCTCCCAGCTCGCCCGCAGGGACAGCGCCAGGCTGGGGTACGGCACAGAGGTGCCTCTGCGACCCTTCCTACTGTCTGCAGGCTGGGCGGCAGGGGACTTCACAGGATGCTACTTGGCCTCAGAGAGCTGGCTCGGGCTGACCTGCGGGCTCTGGCGGGATGGTCCCTTTGAAAGCATTCTGATCTGAATCCGCCACTGGAGTAGAGACTTCCTCGCTTACTTCTGTTACTGCAGTTCAGGGACCAGGTCGCCCAGGATCGTGGGGACATGGTGCCTCATGAGTCTAGGCAGGGAAGGGGAGCTGGGGGTGGCCCTGGGCAGGTGGATCAGCCTCAGTGTGGGTTCATGGCTCAGAGCCGTGGGGTGTGAGACTACTCTGAGCAGCTGGCCACGAGGAGGGCTCTGAGAAGACCCACCTTCAGCGTGACGGTGAACACCATGACCGTGAACACCAGTGTCCCAAAGGTCCAGTTCCCGAACATCTGTGGAGAAGATCCGAGTGACTGCCTGCGCACGCAGCCCCTCGCTCCCAAGGCCACGGCAAACATGACACCTAGCCACACAGACTGGAGGCTGCGCGGGGCGGGGCTACGGCCTGCCTTGACCTGGCCCTGCCCAGCGCTGCCCAGTGAAGGTGAAGCCCCCACAGCTGGGTCAAACAGGCACCTCCTGGCCTCTGCTTTCTGCAGAGACAAGTGACCCAAGTGCCCAGATGCGCTTCTGCCCCGTCTGAGAACAAGCCCAGGACGTGAGAGGCTGCTGGACAGACACTGCTGCTGGGGACAACACTGAGAAACAGCCAGGAGTGCCGGACACACGGGCGACAGGGAGCACACTGTCCAGCACCTCAGGAAAGGGGACAAGCAGACACACGGGACAGAGCGGGACAAGGGCCGCCCTTCCAGTGGCCAGATGCCACAGACGCCAGCCACCGAGCGCAGGAGGAGGGAGCACCAAGTGGGTTCACAGCTGCCCTCCTCTAGCAGCGGCCTTGGAGGACGGCGGGAAGTGCAGACACGTCCAGCCACAGACAACACACCTCCAGCAGAGACAAGGCACGCAGAGTAAGAGATGCCCCTCCCAGGGAGAGGTCAGTCGCAGGGAAGCCTCGCCTCCAACAGTGGCCACCGTGAAGGTCCTGTCCTCCGCGAGTGGCCCACACCCAGCCTGTGGGGTGCTAGAGCTGTGCTTCTCAGAGAATGCCCCTGGCCCCACTCTAAGGCAAAATCAGAGCTCTGTGTTACAAAGGACTAGAAGGCTGGATGCAGTGGCCTTCTAGGGCAGTTTTCAACCTAAGATGCCCAGCCAGGGCCACACCCGGCAGTGACTTCTGTGAGGTGCAGGCCACGAGTTCTGGTCCACGCAGTGAGCAGGGAAGGCACTGGGGACTCCAGGGCACACGGGCTGGGACTTTGGGAGAGTCAGCGCTCAGTGCCGGGGCCCTAGTGGCACAGCTGCTCACCACACCCTGGGCTCGTGTCCTGGTCAAGTCAGCCTCTCTCCTCGGATGGGACAACACAGGCAAGCAAAAGCTCAGATCTGCACCCACAGAGCTCCTTGGCCAGGGCACCACGCCCGCAGGGCATGCCTAGCTGTGCCTGGGATGTCTCTGGCACCTGCATCTACTGGGCAGAAGCCAGAGGCACTGCTGCATGCCCGGGACGGTGACTTGGGAGGAACTGTGTGGCCCCGAGTGGGGACGGTGCACAGGGAGACCCTGCGTGGTCCAGAGGCTTCCTGCCTGGGTTCACGGCCTCTTTTGGGGCTGGCCTGCACCTGGGGCCTCGCGCAGGGGAGGTGTGTGTCCTCTCAGAGACGCCCAGCCCACCTCATCGTTAGGCAGGGAGGTCTCAGCCCGAGACCAGCTGCGGACTGGCACCACCTCCCAGGGCACCAGGCCGAGGGTCGGAGCAGTGGTGCTGAGCGACTGCTGGGGCCCTGGGGAGCCGTAGGGAGAGAGGGGCTCCCTGTCCTCGCAGATGTCTACAAAACCAGACGACAGCACATCATGCCACGTCCCCCAGAGCCTCGGCAGCAGCGCACCAGGAGGACATGCTGGGCCGGGGACGGAGGCGGCCCTCCACCTCACTGCCATGCCTCCTCAAGGGGCTGGCTGATGGCAGTCCCAGGGAGACGCGTTAGGCCTCTGGCTGGGGTCCACTAAAACATGTGAGCCACCATCCATTTTCACAGGCGGACGGCAAGGCTCAGCTATCTTGAGACCTGAGCTGTGAATTTCAGCCAGGAACCCAGGAAGTGCTGAGCACCAACCCTCTGTGCCCACAGCCCTGGGCCAGGTCACTGGGTGGCGGGCACGGAGCTCCTCTGCTAGCTACCAACGGTCCTGGTTAGGCTGAGAGTCTGGGGATCTTGGGTGGGAGGTGGATGGGCCCCCAGGACACTCCTCGTCAGAGGGACGATCCGACCCCCAGCGACACTCCTCTTCTGACTTCTCAGGACCCATCCTAACGTGAGGACCCACCCCTCAGCCATGGCCAGCACCTCTGCGGCACACCCCTGCATTCCTGCACCAGCAACCCAGGGGACGGAGCCTCTGGCAGTCACGGTGTCCCTGCCCCTCCCTAGCCAGGTTCCCATGTTCACGGGGCGTCCACTCAGTCCTCCTTGCCTCTCCGACACCTCTGAGGATGAGCATTCTCATAGGACGCTCTGCTTCACACCTTCCAGCACGCCAATGTGCCTGCGTGGGGGACGCTCCCCCAAAGTACGCCTCTGCTTGGAGCGGTGTGGCCGCACCTCCCCCGCCCCGAATGCTGGCATCTCAACCACCCTCCTGGTCTTCCTGAATTCTACCATGGCCTGCTCTGAACTCCAGTGTTCACGCAGGAACCTGCCACGCAGCAGACACGATGGCAGTGCCTTGGGATTTGCGCTGTGAAGTCCAGGTGAGGGCTTGACCACCAAGACAGACTTCTAGACTACTTGTAAGATGTACCTGGGCCATGGAGAACGCCATCAGAGAGCGTCTCATCACCAAGCTGCAACCCCATAACCGAGAGGGTCGCTGCTGGGAGACGCGGAGTTCCTGATCTCTGCTGACCCTGCCTGACACTGCTCCTGTCTGGTGGTGAGTGGGCTCTGGACTGCCCAGGACACGCGCACACGCTGGATGCAGCCGACAGGGCTCCCTGAAGGCCACTGGGGCAGGCACATCACGCATGGGGTGGCCTGGGTCATCCTGACCCTGAACTCCTGGGCAGCCCTGAGTCACCTCTGTGGTTGTTGGTGACCATGGTCTTGGATGGCCGTGCAGTGTCAGCTGTGGGGGCCTTAGGGGCCTGGAGCAAGCCTGCTGGGGAGTCCAGCACAGAACGTCCCAGAACCGGGTGGGCACCCATCGCCGCCAGGCACCTCCCAGTTCTTAGGTGAGGAGACTGCATCCTGCACCTGCTGTGACAGCCGGTGAATGCAGCTGGGGCCACCCATGTCCCCTGAGGCTGTGTGGCTGCACACGACGCCCTGGGCTGCCTCCACCTTGGACTCTTTCCGACCCCATTTCAAGTTCCAGTGATGTGACAAGGGGCAGGGAGTACAAGGTTGGGACATGTTGCTGAAACACCTCTCTCAGGAGACAAGGGATGCAGGACGTGGGGTCCCCCAGAGGTAACAGTGGCGCCCTGGCCAGTGGCAGCACAGCCTGGCTGGAGGGGACGAGGGGCCCTGAGGAGTGCCGGCCGGAAGGCCTGAGCAGCAGCTGGCCTGCCTTTCCAGGGAGAGCAGCTGTGTCCTCCCCTGACCAGAGGGACGCTTGCAGGGCCTGCCCGCACCACCCCTGGTCCTCCACTAGTCTCCTCGACCTCTGTTCTAGGAACGTCGGAGAGAACAGGGTGCTGTCAGTACGAGGCAGAGGCCAGCCGGGAAGTGGAGCCAGTGATGACTGCCATGCCACCCACATGCCACTACCTCCCGAGATCGAGGTCCAGGACAGGAGCCTGTGTGTCCAGGACACAACAGGAGGCCTGAGCCAGGGAAAAGCCCCGGGAGAGGGAAGAAGTAAAGAGCTCTGGAGCCACAGTGATGGTGGGGGCCGTGCCGGAACCACACAGCCTGGCAAACCAGGGCAAGGAGGAGCCGCAGGGACTGAGCCCGGAGCAGCAGCGCAGCCTCAGCAGGCTCCAGGACTGAACTCACAGAAGACCACCTAGGCTATGGGAAGGGGCAGCACCTCTCGGCCATGAGAAAACCAAAGAGGGAACAAATCCTCAGGACTCACGGCAGGGCCTCTGTGTCCCCACCCACAGGCTGCGGGGCAGACATGGGCGGCCACCAGGGGAAGACGGTGCCGGGGACGGGAATGAAAAGCCCTCTGTTGGTAAGCTGCCCTCCAACGCACCTCGGAATGCCAGCCCCATGTTGGGACCCTGGGGGACCACGCTGGGCCCAGGGCTGTGACCCTCAGGGAGGACCACACTGGGCCTAGGACTGGCACCCTCAGGGGCACTCTGGAGTCTGCCCAACACCCCTCAGCTCCCTGGCCAGCTGAAACATGCCCTCAGGCCTCTCAGCCCTGCTGACTCTGCCCTTCATCACCATGAAGAGGGTTCAGATCCACAGAGCCTGACACAGACCTGGGGTGGGGGGACAGGGAGAGAGATGGCCGGAACACACAGGTCTCTGGCCAGTAGAGGGCAGGAGAACTGACAGCATTTCTACCCACAAAGCACACAGTAGAGGTCACATGTGAAAATATTTTCGAGAAATATTTTAATTGCAGTGCACTCCAGAAAACACAGAGGAAGGACAAACCCACGGTTCTTACCATGTGTGTGTTGGTGGTCACTATCTGAGGGTGAAGGAGGCGAGTAGCAGAGAGAAAAAAGCAAGATACAAATAAAACAGACCCCAGGAAGCAGGCCAGTGTCGAGCGCCCGGGACGCACCTTGCTCGCCGCGGGGCACGGCCTGCTCGGGCACGCTACGCCAATGTACCCCGCGCCCGGGAGTGCTGCCCGATGCCATAGTGGCACACTGGCCCTGAGCTGGCCATGGAAGGAAGGTCACACAGCATGCCTGGGAACCCCAGAGGCCCTGCCCTGCTGCCACGTGACCCTGGACGTGTCTGCTGGACGCACAGGCGTCTGCGACCCACCCGCAGGGCCTGGGAGCCCTGCTGAGCTACTATTCTCACAGCGTGATCACATGGGGTGAGGGGTCATCCTCAGCCACCAGAGTACAGTACTGACCTGTCCACCGCTGGTCACGACTGTGTTTTCAAACATGAAATAAGCACCAAAGAAAAACACCAGCGCATCAAATAGCCCCAGGAAGGTCCAGTAGGTGAACACCCTCCAGCGGAGCAGCGCGTTCTTGGCGATGTCCCTGTGGGAAAGGGAAGGGGACAGCGTTACACAAGGCGACCCGTGTGGCTGCACCGCTGCACCGCCGCACATGCCTGACCCCCAAACAGGGTGGACACAGGCCACCTGAGGAAGACGAGAGTGTGGTGAGAGCCTCCGTGCCCTGCGGTTCCCAATGTGCGGGCTTTGGGGAAACCGCATGAGAGCACGTGGAGTCTCCCTGGAGTCCGCTCCGCAACCACCTGTGAGTCTAAATTGGAGGAAAAATACATGTTTAATTTAAAAAGACAAACAGGAACATCAAGTCTGCCAAAGATCCTGAATGGCAGTTCTGAAATAACAGAAAAACATCTATTCTTTATTAATTACATTTTTTTTTAAGAAGAAAAGATCACACTGAAATCAGATCCACCAACATTTCTGAACAGAACACACTTGGTTCTAAAGGGTGATCCAGGCCATGAATTCATGGTCACAAGAAGCCCGACATCCTCATCCCTAGTTCTTCCACAGTCATCAAACAGACTGGCCTGACGCGCGTCCCCTCTCCGCCATCTCTGACCTGGGGGCGAAGGCCACACTCCTGCTGGTCGGGCTCCTGGCGGCAAGTACACAGTCCATTAACATCCCCAGGTTTGAACATGTCTGTCGGTGCTGACCGGAAGGACTGAGGCAGTCCCTGGGTGCTTCTGGGCAGGGAAGGGCCACTGGGATGGTGGGGACCCACCTGTATAGCGAAGGGTCTCTCTTGAGCACGTCGATGCCCACGTGCTGCTCCATCAGGCTGTACAGCAGAATCGGGAGGGACGTGAAGCTGATGTTGTAGAGGGTCAGGTACGCGGTGTCGTACAGGGTCTGGAGGAAGAGGGCGTCCGCTGACCACCTCACTTCCTGCATAGACTGCTGGTGTCCTCTTTCACTTAACACAGAGAACCACAGCTGGGCACAGAGTGTGCCCACAGTGTACCCAGAGCCACCCTTGCAGGCAGAGGGGACAGCATGACTACAAAGCCTCACAGGGCCAGGACAAAGCTGCAGCTGGCCCCTCCTGGCTCTGACCCACCCATTCTGTCACTGCACATTGCCAAGTGGGGACAAAGGGAAGAAGAAGTGGAACAAGGATTTGCAGTTCTGACAGCCACCCTCCAGATTCACCTGCCTGGTCCTGGATGCTTCAGAAAAGCAACTGGCACACGCAGGCGTCACCTGGGAAGCAGGGCTGAGGAGCCCCCTCATCCTGTCCCTGTCCCCATCCTAGGCCACCACCCCTGCCCCTGGCACACTGCAGGGCCTCTGGCCCCAAGGATGACACAGACACCCATGAGTACCTCCAGTGTGGACCCTACACCCCAAGTTGGGGGCTGGGAGGTGGGTCCTGCCTCTCCAACACCTGAGGCCAGCAGACCCGCCCAGAGGCTCCTCAGCACTGTGGCCTGCACCTGATCCCATACCCGCCTGCTGATGGGCCCCGGGCAGTGGGAGGGACAGTGGGAGGAACAGTAGTGAGCTTGCTCACTGTCCCTGTGGCAAGGTGGCCTGGATGTCCCAAAGTCTCTTCTCCCCACTGCAGCCACCCTCCAGGGAAGGGGAGCAAGGCAAGGACAGGCCCCTGACTTAGAGGACGTGAGGACTGACCTGTTGTGAGAACCCACAGAAGAACTGGTACAGAAACTGGGGGAAAATGAAGCAGACGTTCTGAAAGGCAAGCCGCAGGCCGTTAGGTCAGTGACGGTCTCCAGAGGATCAGAGCCCACACCATCTACTCTGTGTGGGGACCAACCCAGACGTGCTCTGCGTCCTGCAGAGGAGCACAGAATGGGCTCTGGAAATTCTCTTCTCGTTTCAGTGGCCACTAAAACCCTGCTCTGGCTGCGGTGACACAGACAGTGTACAGGGACTCTGTTAGGAAGGGGTCAGCAAAGCCAGGAAATAAGCTACTGCCCAGGGAGCCGGGCTCTTGGAAGAGGTACAAATGGTGCCCCACAGGCACCCCACTGCCGGAGCCGTCAGCTCCACAGTGAGATCTGGGGGGGGAGGAGGTGCTGGGGAGCCTCCCATGGTGAGAGACACACCCCTTCCTTCCTGCCCAGGGTCAGGCTGTCCTGGTGGCACACGCGGCCCGAGGGGGAGGTGCGGAGACTGCCTACCTTGTAGAAGAAGTACTGCACCAGCTCAGAGATCCTGATGTAGTAGAAATGCCCGTGGACCAGAAGCATCTTCTTCAAGTGCTTGAACTTGGGTATCGCGTAGTCGCTGTTCCGCGCCGCCTGCCGGCCTTCCTTCCCAATGACCCCTGCGAGCATGGAGAGTGAGGAGCCAGCTGGGAGCCGGCCCAGCCAGGGCAGCCTCCTGTCGCCGCCTCCCCCTGGCTCACCTATGCCCACATGGGCCTCCAGGATCATGCTGACGTCATTGGCGCCATCACCGATGGCCAGGGTGATGGGGTGCTCTTTTGAAAATTTGATCAACTTAACAATCTAGAAAAGATAACAAAATTGACTCCTCTGCTTTGTCTGCCAGGGTTATTCCCTAACAGTACACATAGAGGCACACAAGGGTGGCACGCATAGGCAGAGCTGAGGGGTGAGGTGGGAGCGCTGCTGGCTTGGAGCTAATTCACCATAGCCTGCTTCCCTCTATACAGCAGAACGTCATCCCCATTTGAAAACCAGCAGAATAAAGTGAGACGTGGGAGATACGATGGCGACAGGCTGTGAAAGGGCCATCAAGTGAGCTGCATGGCTGGCCACGACTCAAATACCAGGGCAGGTGCCAACTCGGCCCCATGAGCAGGTCTGCAGAGCCGGGCTGGTGTCAGGCGGCGAGTCTAAAGAGCGAGCCGTGGTTCCCCGGCTATCTTACTCTTCAAAACTGTCCTGTGCGCAGAGCTAACCTGGCACCTGCGTGCACTGAATGACTTCTAGGGTTCCAAGCTTTCTCTGTGGTCTCCCCCACGTAGGTGCCAAGTGCACTGGTGTAGGGGTGAGACTGAAAGATGGGAAGCAGGTTTCAAGATGAGAGACTGGCATGCAAATTCAATGTAGAAAGCTTTTCAAAAGCCAATTGAGAAATTAGAACTGGTTCAGAAAACCTTAGCTGCATCTGGGAAGTAACTGAAACAGATTTAGTGGAACATATTAGAGGAGGGAAGGAACGAAGTAAGTTCATGGAAACAGGATGCACATGATTCCTGAGCCTGGGGCACCTCCTTGAGAACTGCCCAGGGAGGCCCTGGCTCTTAGTGAGAGGTGAGCGTCACACATGTCACGTGCTGACCACCAGTCCTTGCACTTATTTTACCTTAACCACTGGGCCAATCTGAGAAGTTGCAGATTTCTTTAATGAACAGTTTAGATGCTGGCCTATTGTATCTAAGATGTGCTGCGATCAAGTTGGGGCTTCAGGTCTACTGAGTTTGGAAAGACGTCATGTTTACATGTAGTTCCCATAATGCATTTAAAAGGTAGTTAGAAGTATTTTGGAAACACTTCAGGTGTGTCTCCCATAAGAACTCAAGGGGGTAGGACCAAAGTTTGGAGCTGGACTGGCAAGAGTCCAATTTGCATGCTCTGGACACGTAGGCCAGCTGGTAAGGTCAGGACCCACTCATCCCGCAGGGCTGAAGGCCAGAGCACTGATGACTGGGGATGGCACACAGCAGGGACTCAGTAAATGCCAGTCCCCTCCTTTCTTCATTTCTCAGGAGGGAGCCAGCACCCTCCTAGCCACTGTACCTGGAAGGGCCACCCTGGACTCCACACTCACTAGTCAGGGAGGGTGACTGAAACCTCTGCCATTCCTGCCTCTGTTTCTAAAGGTGCTACCACACTAGGTTTTTTAGGAGTCGGGGCTGAGGGACCTTGGGACAGGGCTGGTGTTTCAGCACGCATCCCTGGGTCACGAAGGGGCGCACCTGGGCTTTCTGCAAGGGCGCCATCCGGCAGCAGAGCACAGCACTGCAGTTCCGGCAGATCTCCAGGAAGAGCTCTCGGTAGTTGCTGGAACTTCCGTCCTCTCGGGGCTTCATGATTAATGACAGCGCCGCGCCATCAATAATTAAACCGTAGTCCTGCATATCCGCTGAGAGTCTGTTAGGCCACACAAATAAGAAAGATCACTCAATTGCTAGATCCACGTTTTAGAACCTATAGGTGCTGCCACCCCCCAGGACTAAGCCGCTGGGCCTCCACTTCATTAAGGCAACCTTCGGAGCACTGCATGTAGCAACTATGATGATATTTTAATGAAATGTTCTTGTTTTCCTCAGACAGAGCCACAGCTTCGTGGGAAGCTCTGGGAACAGGGCCTCTGTCTGTCAGCCTACCCTGGGTCCAGATTCCTGAACCCCCGTCTGTGTGTACAGCTCGCAACCACAGGCTCCCTGCCCAATAACCCAAGCTGATGAGAACAGGGTGACACACTCTCTTTGCCAGCCTTCAAAATGACAAATACTCCCAATCCCCAAAAGCATCTCAGGCACAGAGAACTATCCTCGTCTATTTATGAATAATTTAAAATTTGCATTTGATGAGAGCACTCACATGCTCTGCCCACACTAATGGGAATCTAAAACCAGCTAAACAAGCCCCATCTCAGAAGACGCGCCGCAGGCCAGCACGGCAGCCCTGTACACTGTGTCTGTCAGACTGCCGGACATCCCAGCACGCTGCCTGGCCCCAGACAGACCGCCTGCATTATTGATAACCCCAGCCTGCCTGGATACTCTCTCTGGCATCTGCCGCAGAGCCCCCGAGTCTTAGAAGCAGTCAAGAATTATCCCAATGAAAACACTTTAAAAAAAGAGGAAGACAAGAACACGTGCTCAGTCTGTCTTCCCGTACCTCCACCCTGCCCACAGTCTGCACCTGAACCCCACACAGAGGAGCAGGGAGACGTGTCTCAGTCCACGACTGGGAGGTCCAGGACTCCGTCCCAAGTTCAACCTGACCCAGGAGGACCTGTGCTCATGCCTCAGGAGACCCAGGCCCCTGTAAGGATGGGGAGACCCCAGGACTTGCCAGTGGAGGCTGCGCCTGACCCCTCCAGGGGCAGGAGGCACCCACCCTGAGAAGTTGTCCCTGGTCAGGCTGCCGCTGCAGCGCAGGACGGTCTTGCTCAGCTCGAACAGGACGTCATGCAGACTCTGCTCCTCGATCCGCTTGGTGGTGAGCTCGAGCAGCTGCGTGTTCCTCCGGAAGAGCTTGCAGGCGTAGCAGGTGGCCGCAGCCGTCTCCATCTTGTCCCCGGTGAGCACCCAGACCTTGATGCCCGCCTTCTGCAGCGCCTCGATGGTGTCGGCTGCTTTCTCCTGGAGCCTTCGGGGAGAAACCAGCAGGTGGGCGCCAGAGCACAAAGGCCAGGGAGAGGGTTTCAGGAGCCTGAGGCTGCAGAGGGACGCGCTGCAGAATCCCAGCACGCGGCTGCTGCTGGCCATCTCACCGCGGCGCTCATGGCGCTTCGCGACACCAGCAGACAGGCCAGACAGGGCGTCCACACACTGTCGCCACTGGCCACCTCCAGTTCTGTCCAGCTGAGACCCACCACGTGGACAGGGCAGCAGGCACTGTGAGGAATCCTCATGGCCCATGGGGAATGGTCTCTCGCAGGTCAACGGGGCGTGGGGTGGTCGCAGGAGTCACTTCACTTCTTTTGCTACAACCTGCTCTGTCTGACTGCCTTTTACCAAACTGGAATCCCAAACCCAAGTTATACCACGTCCTGAGGGTGCTGCCCGGGTCCATAGGCCAGATGCCCTCGACGCACGTGGGGGATTCCCTTCCTGTCTACCATGGACCATGGGGTCGGGCTGCACCACCTCCCTCCTGCCAGCTGGCCGAGGCTCACTGCGAGGACACTCTGCTGACACTGTCAGCCTGCGCCAGTCTGTGGGTGCTGGTGGGGTCACAGCCACGAGCGTCCCACCCAGTGCCTGCCGTCCCCTCCAGGTCTGAGAGCCCTGACTGTTGGAGGTGGGTCAACACACGCTGCTCCCACACAGTGCGGGTGGGGGACTGGGCTCAGGTGAAGTGCAGCGACGTGCCTGGACTTGGGAGGAACTCCCTGCACAGGACTGTCCAGGTCACACAATCACAAATCACAGAAAGCAAAAAACAAACAAACAAAAAAAACCCCTCTAATAATAATTATTTGTAATTAGAGTTTTAATAATTGATGAGATTTAAATTGGGGGGGAGGAATGAGTCCCAGAGAGGTTTGCAAGTGTTGGCTGGTGTTTCAAAGAGATCACTTGTAATCAACTGCCATCTCTTCACAGCCACTCATCCCCTGTGCCCCAGGGGTCACCTCTCCATCTCCATGTCCCAAGGTCAGCCACACTGACCCTCCACCCCCAGGCTCCGTGCACCTGCTCTATGGCTGCCTTGTGGCCACCTGTCTAGCTGAGCATCCCTCCCCTTCCCGGGCACAGGGCCACGGCCGCCCCACAGTCCTGGCTTGCTAAAGCCTGTCTGCCGCAGTGCGGGTCTCCCGCGGAGGCCTGGGTCCCCACTGCACAGTGCACAGGCACACAGCCAGCCACAGCTCTGTGCTGCACCACACTCCCGTCAGAAGGAGCACGTGAAGTGTTCACAGAAGGCTCCGGAACATGGAGGTCAGCCCCGAGGGCTTTCTCCTCACCATGAGCAGCAGCCGTGAGCAGCAGTGTGGTCCTGGCTTTGCTCCCCCAGCAGAACCCCTGGCGTCCTGCTGTGCTTGCAGCCCCAGGAAGGCCTACTCCTCACTGACCGCTGTGGAGGCGGGAAGCCACCTGGAGGCTGGGACACCTGTGATTGGCGCTTTCCACCAGTCACGATCACTAGGCCCTGCAGCAGTCCCGGGCTATCCTAAGCTTCTTCAAAGGGCAATGAGAAATATGTTGAGGGGGAGGGAGGGAACACATTAGCAAGCTCAGCCGAGGCCCCTCGCTGACCCTGGAGGACCACGGAAACCTGGACCTTGATGATCCCTAATGGGCTTTCTGAGAAGTGTGCTTCAGCCCCCTTGTTTCTGGACAGCAAAGTGGCCTCTGGCCACAGCCCCCCAGGACGTTCACCCACCCTGGCCGCCCACTGCGTCGCGGGCCTGGGGTGGGCAGGTGTGTGCCTTTACCTGTCCTCCACGGCCGTGGCACCAAGCAGGATGAGGTCCCTCTCAATCTGCTCGTAGGCCTCTGCGAGCTTCTTCTCCCGGTCCTGGAGGGCCACCTTGGCGGCCTGCAGCAGTCTGCAGGCGCCCTCGTACTCCTCGGGGGCCATGCTCTTGTAGGCCACACACAGCGTGCGGAGCCCCTCCTGCGGACCACAAGGCGGCGTCAGGAGGGCTGGGGCTGCGCTGAGCACGCAGGGGCCCTCCTGACGCCCACGTTCTAGTTAGGAGGACAGGCCAACCAGTGAGGGTCAGTCCTACACTATTCCTGACCACGCAGAGTCCGGGGAATCATCTCGAATCACAAATTCCCATCTAGGAAGCCTGGAACACCAGCTGCTGGAAGCTGTGTGTGAACTACGGGTTTGTCTGAGCCGCCGTAAGGTGGGGAGGCTGCTTTCCTGGGAACTCCTGGGTGAAATTCCCTGGTCTGAGAAAGTCCAGGTCAGCCATGCCCTGCCTTAGCTCACATCCCTGGTTCCAACGCAGCCGCCAGGACATGGGCGTGACTGCCAAGCTCCAAACAACTGTCTTCCCCACTCATCCTGTTTCCTGAAGAAGCTCCTCACTGGCTCCTTCTGGTGGGTTCCACTCTGAACAAAGCAATTGCGGGTCTCTTCCTCGTCAGGATCAGACCAAGGACTCATCCACCCGTCAGTGCCCAAAGGGCTCGTCCACCCGTCAGTGAATATAGACACATTTCTCATCTTTTGTGTGTATTTCTTTTCCTTACTATCTTTTTAGTTGTTGATAGACGTTTATTTTTTTATATGTGGTGCTGAGAATTGAACCCAGTGCCTCACACATGCCAGACAAGCGCGCCACTGCTAGCCCTCGCCCCGCCCCGCCCCGCCCCTGTGTTTATTTCTTATCCCAGCCTTTATTTCCAGCTGGCCCACACCTACTCCCGCCCCACGCAGGTCGTGAGCAGGAATCGTCAGGGTTATCACCCCAAAAGAGACTTCCCTCCTATTCTCTGATGAATGCATTGCTTAAGTTAAACCTTTCTAAGATAATAACTTGCAATTCTGTGGTAAACACCAAGTGGTATTTCTGAAGTAGACTTGTCTCACTTGGGAGCTCGTCAAGGGGAAGGCGAAGGCCCTGGAGGCTGCCCACCAGCCTCGACTCCTGCATAAGCATTTCGCCTTCCAGGAGACACCTGGTCTTTGTGGTCTAGAACGGACTTCCCAGTATGTGTGGAAGCTTCCAGCAACTCTGGGGCACTCAGTCTCCTCATGCCTCTGACCTCCGGGTCTAGCTCAAGGGCACCTCACTGGACTGACAGCGCTCATCTCCCTGAGCACTTGAGAGCGAGGGGCGCAAGAGGCCTCCCATAGACCTGAGAGCAAAAGGACCTGGGTGTGTGAAGCTGTGTTCTCCAGGAACCTTCCAGAACTCTGTTCCTGTGCACCCTCCAAACATGGTCTCCTGCTCCAAGGGGTCGAGCAAGAAGCCAGAGCTGTCCTAACCCCGGCTTCCACACCCACACATGCTGCCTGGTGTCCCAGCCATGTGCGCCTGTCCCCCTCCCCTGGCTGTGGCTGCTGGGCCATGTCCTACTTCACCAAGAACTCGGTGGGTCTGCGAGTGGAGGAGTGGAGGGCCCGAGGAGCACACGGATGAAGGCTTCGTTCACAAGTGGACAACCCCAGGACAAGAGAACAGCTTTCAGGGAGAACCATCCCGAGTGGCCCACCGCGCAGAGCTGGCGTGAGGGCACACAGACACCTTCATAACACAGAGGTCCTTGCTTCTCAAAGCAGACGGGACTTCCTCACATGGCTTCAGGGAGCAGAAGTGAAGCCTCTCTGTTCTTCCTGCCCAGGGCCAGTGAAACCCGCATAGTGCACACACAGGCACACGGACGGGGTAACACGGGCCAGGCCAACACCACCAGAAAACGACAGGACCAGATCCCCTGGCAACATGGACACCAACGTCCTCACCAGCAAGCCAGATGGGACAGGCAGGGCCAGGGGCTCCCCCAGGAGATTGAGGAGCTCAGCACTGGAAATGCACTCCCCGCAGTACAAGGCCTGGCAGAAGCAGTAGAGGCAGGCCAGCATTCGAGGGACGCAGACATGCAGCTGACCAGAGCCCTGTGCCCGTCCCAGCAGGATCGGCAGGTGCCTACTCAGCACGGCAGAAGCCATGGAGAAAGCCCACAGCAGATGTCACATGAGGCCAAGACAGCACTTCCCCAAGTCAGGAACAGAGGGGGCCTGCCTGGCCACTTACTTCTCCTCGTGGCCTAAGAAGTTCCCATCAGAGCAACCAGGCATTAACAGGGGGACGCCCATGAGGAAGGGTGCCTAAGGACCCTCTGTCTGCAGATGACGTGGCCCCACAAAGACAGACCCAAGCCGGCAGAGACACCACTCCCCAGACAACCCAAGGGGAGACCAAGGCAACCCCCGCAGTGACATCAGGAAGCAGAACCCTCGGCTCTGCGCTCAGCCAGAGGTGGAGGGCTGAACGGAATCACTCAAGACCCGACTCAACGGGACACCTGTGTTCACAGACCACGTCCCAGCACTGCCGGTGACAGTGCTGCCCAGGGCCACCTCCAGGCCAGTGTGACCCCACAAGGAGCCCTAGGGTGGAAAAGCCCAGCTGAGATTCGTGCGCATCTCAACTGGCCCCTGAAGGACCTTGCAAAGGCCAAGCAGCTCTCCTGCTCTGGTCAGCCAGCCCGACACCAGGACGCAGGGCCATGACCAGACCTGGAGGCCAGCACACCCGGCTGGCAATTCTGACAAGGCACCAGGACCGTGGTGGGGAAAGAACCAGCCGCCATCAAGGGGCTGGGAGACCGACCGACGCCTGCGAGAGAGCAAGGCTGGCCGGTCGCCGTCCCCGAAGCCAACCAAAGGGCAGCGAAGCCCCGAGCGCAGGAGCTGCTGCGGAACCCGGAGGAAGAGCAGGCGGCCTCCCGACTCCAGGCTCCACGACGTCAGGACGTGACGCCAAGCAGAGACCACAGAGGAGAGCTGGATGACGGGACTCAGAGGACACAAGGCCCTGCACTTGCTTGATCATTCTCATTTCCTGTCAATCTGCCATTATTTAAAAATAACATTAGCAACCAGGGGGCTGCAAGGCCCTCAGGTGCCCAGCAGAGGAGGTGCCCGAGGCCAGGAAGGAGCTGTCAGGAAGGGTGGCACAGCTCGACCCCAGGAGCTCACAGCGGTCACTGGCCCGAGTGCCACACTGGACCCACCGTCACATCACGAGATGGCACCAACTGAAGGAAGCAGCACTCTCCTGGGAACCGGCTCCACAAGACTCGAGGTCTGCAGGAACAGCAGCCTCCAGGCCAACCAGGCACACCGCTGGCTGAGGAAGGCACAGGCCATGGCCACGCCCGGGCACACCGCTAGACCTGGGCAGTTGCCGTCTGCAGGAAGGGTGCCCTGGGGACACGGTGCGGCAGACCAGACAGGGCAGAAACTGGGGTGAAACGGACGGAGGATTTTAAGGAAAAGCCTCAGAAAGCTGCAGAGAGACAGGGGGCAGCTGACCGCACAGGAACTGCTCAGTGGGAGCAGGAATACCAGAAGAGTGACCTTGGACAGTCTCTTGAGCTCCCAGAGCTGAGGAAGCCCCAGAGCCCAGGCAGCAGGCCAGCCATGTGCCGACGAGGGCCACCATGCCATCTGGCCTCTCCAGCTGCCCAGACCCCGCAGTCCACTGCAGCTGACTTCAACAACCCCGGAGTGGAGACTGTCTGAAGCATGGTCCACCCACCCATGCTGCCAGCTCCACGGAAACCACGGCAGACCAGCAAACGCACACCCACGTGGACAACCCTCCAAACAGCTAGTGCCACAGAATCCAGAGGGACCCTGGCAGGAGAAGGCAGAGGTGCACGCACGCACACAGACACACAGACACACACACACATGCGCACACGAAGACACATGTGCACCCATGTGGACAACCCTCCAAACAGCTAGTGCCGTAGAATCCAGAGGGACCCTGGCAGGAGACGGCAGAGGTGCACACACACAGACACAAAGACACATGCGCACACGAAGACACACATGCACACACGAAGACACACGTGTACCCATGTGGACAACCTTTAAAATAGCTAGTGCCGTAGAAGCCAGGGGGGACCTTGGTAGAAGGCAGAGGTGCACGCACGCACATAGACAGAAAGACACACAGACACACATGGAGACACATGTGCACCCATGTGGACAACCCTCAAAACAACTAGTGCCGTAGAAGCCAGGGGGGACCTTGGTAGAAGGCAGAGGTGCACACACGCACATAGACAGAAAGACACACAGACACACAGAGACACATGCGCACACATGCAGACACACAGACACACATGGAGACACATGTGCACCCATGTGGACAACCCTCCAAACAACTAGTGCCGTAGAAGCCAGGGGGGACCTTGGTAGAAGGCAGAGGTGCACGCACGCACATAGACAGAAAGACACACAGACACACAGAGACACATGCGCACACATGCAGACACACAGACACACATGAAGACACATGTGCACCCACGTGGACAACCCTCAAAACAACTAGTGCCATAGAAGCCAGAGTGGACCCTGGCAGGAGAAGGCAGAGGTGCATGCATGCACACAGACACACAGACACACACACACAGAGACACACGAAGACACACAAAGACACACATGCACACGCACAGACACACACACAGACATACACAGACACACAGACACAGAGACACATGCGCGCATGCACACAGACACAGACACACACATGCGCACGCGTGCGCACACACACACGAAGAGACATGCGCACACAGACACACATGCACACACGTGCACACAAGCACACACATAAGCAGACAAGTACACACACAGACACATGTGCACACACAGGCAGATGCGCACACACACTCACAATCGCAGGCACATGCAGAAACACAGACACACGCACTACACATGCAGGCACACGCAGACTCGTGCGCACACATACACACACGCAGACACACAGACTTTAGTCAGCAGCAGGGTTTTAAGGTTTTGCCCTAATAAGTGCAATGAAGCCCGGCGGGTGCCGGAAGACACCCTTTAGCTACCCCCTGGCAGAATGTGGATGCAGCTGTATGGAGACGTGTCTGTGTGTGTCTGGCGCTTTATAAACTAGGAGCAGAAAGAGATTTCTGGACCAGGAGTAGAGATTTCCAGGCCACGGCTGTCCCACCTGCTCCTTCCTCCCAGGGAGATGGGCTATAAGAATGTGGCCTGCCACCTCGAGGAACTGCCACCAGATTCCCAGATCCCAGGCACCAACGGAAAGAAAGGAGCCCTCCCTGGGCAGAGGGCCACCTCGGGCCGCCCGTCCTCACGGGTCTCACCACTGCATTGCGCTCCACCCTGGCTCGGATCTGGTCCACTCTGCCTTCTGTCACCCTGGGAAATATGGAAGAATCCGCTCCTTTGCAAAACAGATAGATTTCTCCTGTAAAATAAGAAAAAAGAAGAGAAAACCACCAAGGTTGAATTTCATCCTGACACGGGGGCCCTGCACCGCTTTCCACCGCTGGAATGCCTCAGCAGGACACCAGGCCTGAGACCACTTTAAAGACTTTAATGGCCAATTGACAAGCCGAGGTTGGGAAATCAGATCTCTGGATTCCTCCCAAACCTCCTTTTACTCTCACTCTCGGAGGTCCCAGAGCAAAGTCAGGACCAGGAACAGAAGGTGGCTCTTGGGCCTCGGCTGCACCTTCTCTGGTAAAGGCAGAAAGAAAGACCCAAGGCCCTGGGCAGAGTGGGGGCATGATGAATGCAGGGGTTGCCCGGCCAGGGCAGGGAGAGCAGCCTGTGGACACTGGCCGCTGCAGCGTCATGGAACAGGCCGGCCTCCGCGTCACCGAGCAGGAGAAAGGGCACCAGGGCCGCACACCTCCCACACTGCTGAGAAGGGCTCCTTCGACCTCAGGTGAGCCGGGGCAACGGCAGCAGTGGCCAAACTGCTGGTACAAGGTGCCAGCCCTGATGTCACCCACTCACAGCCGGGGCCCTTCTCTGGGGAGAGTCTCAGCCTGCCGGGTGGGGCAGCAGGTCAAGGCCACCATGCTCCACCATCAGGGCTGCAGGGCTACGGGGGTGGGGGATGGGAGACACTCCTTGGCCAGACTGACATTCCAGGAGACTGAACCCGGTCCTCTGTGGGGACAGATCCTTGAGCCCCCTAACACCGAGGGTCCTTCCAAGTATCCAGGACCAAGTCTGGAGGGCACTGGAGGTCAGTCGGGGACTGTCCAGCTCAGCGATTCCCAGGGTGGGGTGGGCAGAGGCCCTCCTGGGCTGACAACTGGGATCCAGACCCAGGGTTCAGGGGTGTGTTGGGCGCCAACCTTCCTCGTTCCTGCTCCCAGGACAGACCCCGGAGAGGCACAGAGAGAATGTCTAAGTCACAGATATGACCCACTGGCTGAGGGCTCAGTCCAGATGCTGGCCACAGCCACAAGGCACTGCCACGGAGACGTGGGTTGTGGCCACCTGGGTGGGCCACGCCTGAGCAGACACTGGGCAGAAGCAGGTGGGAAAAGGAGCCCCGGGAGCAGCTACCAGGGACACAGGGCACTGGCTCTAGCTGGTGCCTGCAGAACCACACTGGTGGGGCTTCTGGGGCCATGACCCATCCAGGATGGTTCCAGAGCCCGCCATGGTCACCAGATGGTGGGACTGCTCATGCTTCAGGGCTCCTGGCTCAGCTCCCCGCAGTGCCGATGTGCCCACACATACAAGGCCGGGCATGTCGGCCCTGGGACGAGGGTGTGCCTGGCCTAGGAGCAGCCCCAGGGCGTAGCAAGTGTACCCTGGGCGGGTGGGCGCAGACCTGCTGTTGCAGTCCTGTGGACACGTGGCCGGCAGGACTGAGCCTATGGGATCAGGTCTTCTGGTCCTGTCGACTGTGTGGCTGCCCTGCCACCCTCCACTCCAGGGCCAACAAGAGTTGGTGGGGAGGATGGTGGCCAAAGCTCCTGGTGGACACGGCTGGGCACTGTGTCCCACCCATGCTAGGCGACACTGTGGTAAGCCTGGCGGTGGCTCTCAGGGGACAGGGCATGTCGACAGGCAGCTCTGGGGTCGTGTGACACAGTGCCTGCCTTTGCCTCACTGCAGGGGCTGTGGTGTGGATACCATCAGAAGAGCCCCAGGTCATGCTCACGAGTCTCTGGAACAGGAGCGCCCAGCGTGGCCGAGTGCCCAAACCTCCGGTGTCCCTCCTCAATTCGGCCTCATCGGGTCTGCAGGGTGCACAGCACGGGCACAGGTATTTGAGGGGTCTCCCTGACGTTGTGGGCACCACTTCCACCGGGGGAGAAGGACTCCGCCCACCCACAGGTGGCCAGACCCACACGGTGGTGCCCCCTCGGGGGAGTGGGTCTAGGACAGCCTCTGTGGACATGGCGCTCCTCCTGCCGGTCCCTGAGGCTCTTCGGGACGGCATCGCGGCCCAGAGTATGTTCTGCAGAGGCCCCAGGAAGGGTGCAGCCTCCTGAGCCCAGGGCTGTCCCAAGCCAACACCTCAGGCCTCAAGCTGGGTCACTGCCGCATCCACAAGAGCCCCTGTGCAGCCCGGACGGCACAGTGACGTTGGTGGCTCAAAGCGGCTATGAGAGGCTTAAAGGTGGCTCCTCCGTCGGCAAAGCACCTCTACCACACGTGGTGGCCCCAGGGCAGGAGCAGTGTCATGGGGCACAGCTGGGGAGGCTCCCCTGGCGAGATCCAGCTGGGAATGGCCACGCGCTGTCCTCCTCCTGGTGGTTCACAGTGGCTGCAGGTCGCGGGATGGTGTTCCGTGGGAGCAGGTGGGGGGGCCTCCCACCCTCAGCAGGTGTCAGCGTCTCCGCATCGGCTCCCAGAGACGGTCCTGCGACCCACTGCAGGTGGTAAAGCCCGCTTCTCTGTGTCTCACGGCCATGTCCACAGAGGCTGCCGCGTGTCCCATGACTTTGGTGCAAATCCTGTAGGTGGCGCCTGCTCTTCTCCCTCATGTCGTGATCCATCTCGGGGTAGGTGCTGTGGGACTCAGCGGGTTGAGATACACAGCCAGGTCCCCAGCAGCCACAGTATCCTCCCGAGGCTGCCCACCCAACACAGGAGCTCCGTTCTTGGACAGCAACGCGGGACGCTGCTAAATGTGCTCTAAGCCACCCCCACTGTCCTCAGTGGTCTCCGGAGGGGACGCTGCTAAATGTGCTCTCCGTACCCTCTGCTGTCCTTGGCAGTCTCCAAGGGAGAATAAGGATGGCTGCTCTCAGCCAGGACCCCAGGACAGCTCTGCCCAGGAGATCCCCTGCTTGCTTCACACAGACAGGAGGTCTCTCAGCACGAGCAGAGGAACCTGGCCAACAAGGAATTCCCCGAGGCTGGACTGGGCAGATCCAGGGCAGCAGCACTGTTTGGTGACTGACCTGGCATCTGCCCAAAGAGGGACCAGCCTGGTGTTGCCTAGTTTAGGAAACAGCACAGGTCCCCAGTTCTCGAGGTGCTGCTCTGAGCTGCGCTGGTGAGTGGACTGGCCCCATCTCCCCAGGGCTCTGCAGGGGGCAGGGGCAGGGAGCGCCCTGCTGAGTGGGGCACACGCTGCCTCTTTCAGGACTGGGCCAGAGGCAGAGGCTCCAGTGCAGGGCCACGTCCAGCGTGTCACCATGGGACCACACAGGGAGGAGTGCGACCGAGGAGGCCGGTGTCGCTAGCCAGGCAGTACTGAGCCGTTCTGGATGTGCACGCAGGAGGGCAAGCCCACGCTGGGCAGCGCCTGGGCCTGTGGGGACGGCGGGTGGACACTGAGGCTGGGCTGCTGACGACGGCTAGGAGGGTGGTGCAGGGCCTGGACGGGGTGTGGATGACTCTCCAGTTCCCTGCAGCGGGGGCACAGGGTGTGCTGCACTCGGGGCAGGGGCTGGAGCTGGCAGGGCCCAGGTGCCAGGCTGCAGGCTGCTAACAGTGGGACTCCAAGGGAGCCTCCTTGGGGACAGTGAGGAGGGCCTCATGGGCTCTGCCAGATGGTGGAGGGGCCAGCCAAGGCTCAGGAACCTTCCAGAAGCAGGAGGAGCTGAGGTGCCACGAACAGCCCTGGGCTGAGCAGGGACAATGAGCCAAACACCACAAATGCTGGGCGCGTGCAGAGGTCACCAAGGTCACGCAGTCAGAGGGTCTGACCCCACCTCGTCCTCCATCCGGGACCCCGAGGCAGAGCCTGAGCCTGGGGCCCGTGAGACCCTCTGCCCAGCAGAGCCCACAGCTCAGTGACGTGTGTGTCACCACCGGAACGCCCTCCTTCCTCAACAGCGGGTGTTCGAGAGCTGAAACACGCACGGGCACCCACGAGCGAGTGAGCGCCCAGGGGCATGTTCTCCCTGGTCTGCGACACCAGGAGATGCTCGGAGGATTGCATGGGTGTGGCTGCACTTGGGCCTCCGCTCAGGGAAGCCGGCTTCCCTGGGCAGGGTGGGAATTCACCCACACCCAGCAGGGCAATGGCCTGGCTCTGGTCCTCAGAGCTGCCAGAGTCCAGCTACTGGAAAAAACAACACCGCCCCGCACCATCTGAGAAACCAAGAGAAGCCTCTACCTGTGGCAGCTCTGACGATGACACTCATTCTCCTTCTCACAGAGTCAAAACTCAGAATCTCCAGCAATTCAAACCTGAAAAAAAAGGAACTCTCACTCCTTTTTGGGTCTGGACATGAGCTGCCGAGCACGGAGGGCCGCCCAAGTCCACCCCAGGACGGCAGCATCCTCTACTCTCCGCGCCCCCCAAGCCTCACAGGTGCCACCTGAGCTGCGGACGCCACCAGACGCCCAGCTCTGCCCTGCACTGTCCTGGTGCTTGGGGGGATGATGACCGAGTCCAGCTCTGAGGCCCCTGCCTCAGAGAGGACTGACCGCCCGTGGGCACTTGGGCTACTGAAAACTGTCTGCCACCCCTTGGGCTCGGGCCAGCAGGAGGCTGGGGAGAGGCTGCACCCTGTGGCTGTGCAGATGCCCCGGGTGCTCAGCGTACTGCAGGGTGGGTCCTGGTCTCTGCAGTGACCTCACTGCCTGCCCAGGTGGAAGCCAAGACCAGTTAGCAAGCAGGTGGGAAGCTTCCTCCCTCAACAATGGCCGTTCAAGAGCTGAGACACACTTGGGCACCCGCAGCTGGGCGAGCGCTGAGGGTTCTGGCTTTCCCCTGCCCACGGGGAGCCCTGGGCCCAGAGGTCTGGGTCTGTAGGGAGGAGCCCACCCAGGCCGAGAGGCTCCCCATTCCCAGCTGTCCATGAACTTATTTTTTATTTAAAACTCAGACTGTCATGGGCCATCACCACCAAATCCCATGTTCTTTCCAACCTGTCTTAGCCTGTGTCCATTTATGCCATTCCTAAGAAGGAACACCACCGGCCTCCGAGTCAGAACTCAAGATGTGACTTCTGCCTCAGGAGTGAGCTCTTTGATGCCGAGACTGCCCCTGGGCATCAGCTGGCCTTTCTACAGCATAGCTGCGTACTTGGGAGGACTCTGTGCTCCAAGACCAGGGGCTGCTGCCTCAGCAGGGAGGCCGGGGGAGGTTGGAAGGTTCTAGAAGCCCTGAGGATTTCTGTAGCTGGCCCCCAGCTGGTGGTCTACCAGGGGTGATGCAAACCTTCAGGGTCTAGCTGGAAGAGGAGGTCACTGGGGGGTGCACCCTTGAAGGGGATGTCTTGTCCCTGCCCCCTCCTCTCGCTCCCTGCTTCCTGGCCACCATGAGGCGGTAGCTCTGCGCCACCGTGTGGTGCCGCCATGATGTACTGCCTTACACATCCCAGAAACAACAGGGCCAGGCGACCGTGGACTGAAACCTCTCGGAGCAGGGGCACAGGCGCTCTTTCCCCCTTTCGCTGACTTCCTCGGGTGTTCTGTCACAGTGCTGGGGAGGGACTGACACAGAGAAGAAGCCTTCCCTGACAAACCCTAGTCCACCCCTCCAGGAAGCCATTGGAGAGACGCCCTGTGCCGACAAGGCCCTCTTTCCTCCCACTGTCCTGTCTCACAGGGCTCCGGAGGTTCTTGGATTCTTCCGGGAAGCAGGGCACCCATGGGAGGACATTTTTCTGAATGACAAACCCCGCAGGCCCCTCCTCATGGCCGTGCAGCACCTCACCTCTCGATGTCATCGTTCCTGTTGAGAATCTCCATGTAGTTGTCCTTCAGCCGCAGGTATGTGAAGCCGAGCCTGCGGGCGAGAGGCAGACCGGTGAGCGGGGCGCGGTCCCTCCCCACCGAGCACGGCTTTCCTGGGGAAGGAGAGATGCTGTGGGGAGCAGGCTGTGAACTGCACTTCAAAGCCAGCTGGGAGAAGGAGTCGGTCGCCACCTCAGCCAGCGCTCCCAGGACGCACAGCCCCCCCGGGTGACCCAGGCTCCTGTGGGTGCCGAGGCTCCCCACCCTGTCTCTGCACACGTCTACTGGACGCTCACAGGCTTGCTCATTGTTGCTCACAGGGAGTACAACGTTGGGACCCAGAGGACCTCGGAAGCTGTCCCCAAGGTTCCTGGGTGGGAGACCCCTCCACATGCTGCAGTGAGGAGGGGGGACGAGGCCAGCAGGCTCCAAGCTCACAGTGGCTGGCCTGTGTCAAGCCTGTGACGTGCACCTGTCCCTCTCCCACTCGCCCCCTGTGCTTCACCCTCTGGATGCAGGAGAAAGCCCACCCCCAGAGGCCGGTGCTCAGCCCTGGACTTGAGGCAGATCTGCAAGAGCAGGCGTCTGCCCTTGTCACACGGGGTGCTCTGCACAGCAGTACCACAGCAGGCAGTCGTCCCCAGACAGCCCTCACATTTGATTGACAGGACACCAGGCCAGGGTGCTGCTCACGCCGTGTGATCCCAGCAATACCCTCTCCCACGGCTGAGAGCGCAGCACCATTCCAGGCACCTGCCGGAGAGGGAGGAAGAAGGCCTGGCCTTGGGGCTGACAGATGGACACACAGTGCCAGCCGTCATGGTGGGCAGGGGCCAGGAGTAGGGCAGTGGGTCCGCCTACCCCATGGGAGCCTGTGCTGAAGGACAGGACTCCCAGCAGGGGTGCTCTGACCTCGACTGTCTGCCTGGAGTGCGGCTCAGTCCTGAGCGCCTGTTCTCCCAGAAGAGCTAGATCAGCTCTGAGTGGTCCCACCAGTGGGAGTGGGCTTGGGGGCTTCGGAAGCCCACGGTGACGGCATCGCACAGGAGAAAGATGCCGACTTAGAGGCAGCAGGACGCTGCTCGACAAAAAGCGCTGACCCTTCTCCTTGTTGCTCCTTCAGTCTTGGGGTTAACCCATGTCATAGGCAGTACAGAGGGGACCTGAGAGTCACCTGACTCCCAAGCCAGGAGAATCCAGAACGACTTGCCCAGTTTGAAAAAGTGTGGCGCGAAGGGAACGTTTCCAGCATTGCCACTCCAGTCCCTCTGGTGGGGTACGAGATGCACAGGCAGCCAGCAGGCAGGGCCCCAGCATCCATGTCACCCACCAAGCCCTGTGGTTTAGGGGAAACTGCCGCTAGGTCTTGGTTCCTGAGTCCAGGAGGAGACCAGCGCTGGAGGGGATGGGGGTGGCTCCGCCCTCAGGAGCCTGACCAGGACTGTCCCTCTGACATACTGCAGATGGGGGAGCCCCGTGAATGACGCCATGAGGACTCACATGCAGCTTCTCCATGAGGCCCCCGAGGTACGGGGCCCAGAGGGGCCTGAGGCCATAGGCAGCTGCTGCTCAGCCCAGGAGCTCAGGACTCATGGGGACGGGTGGTGACCAGGACAGGGGGCGAGGGACCGGGGACTGCCCACAGTGGATCTTGCCGATCAGCTGAGCCCCACCCCACGGCAGCCCAGACCCACCTCTGGATGCCTTCCACCAGCGCCACCTCGTCAGGCGAGGATGATATGTACACGCAGGACTTCCCTGAGTCCGGTGACTTCCTGGGGCCGTCCACCTGGTCGTCATCTTTCACCTGCACAGTGTGGCAGAGACAGAGGGCCCGGAAAAAAAGCTCCTCCCGCTCCTGTGAAAACATGGCCAGGGGAAGTCCATGGCTCACAGCTGCCCAGAACAGGAGGCGCCCGGCAGGACACACCCCAACTCCCATGCTGCCACTCGGAGGGCGGGTGTGAGCGTGTACACGTGTGCATCTTCAGGAGTGTGCCTGTCTGTGCACTCCGTGTGCTCACTGCTCTCTGCATACCGCCTGCCCTGCCTGTTTAGGGATTCCAAGGTCCTAGCATGGAATCACTACTTGTCGTCCCCTAGGGGACACTGGCAGCACAGCAGCATCTGACCAGAACCTCACTGAAGTCCCACGGGGTCCTGCCTCTCCCAGATGCCCCAGGGAGAGGCACACTTTCTAGAAGGGGAGACCACCTCGCACACATGTGCCTAGCATGGTGACACGTTCCTCCCTACAGTGGGCCAGAACCTACCCTCCCACTGACGCCCGGGGAAGAGTCAATCATGTCGATGCCAGAGGAGTCAGGCAGGACCTGCCCGTTGCAGATGACGTGGGGCACGTAGACCTGACCTTCGATGCAGCACTCCTTGAATGCCATGTTGTTCTCTGTGAGTGTGCCCGTCTTGTCCGTGAAGATGTACTCCACCTGCAGGTGAGGCACACACCCTCAGACGCCACCCAGACCTGTGGCCGTGTCACCCTGGCCCAGGTGACAGTCCGGCAAGATACAAACATCACATAGCTTGCCCCAGACAGATGTAGAGCCGTGGGCGTGTCCGTTGCACCCCCTGGCCATTGGGACAGATGTGATGTGGTGGGGAGCACGGTGACAATGGATGGGGAACGGTGACCTTGCAGGACATTGCCTCGTGGAGCCAGTGCATCTGAAAGACCAGGGTGAGGATGGCCCATGTCTCCTTCAAACAACAAAGGGCACAAAGGAAACCTTCCTCTCTAAAGCCTTGGGGTCAAGACTCACGAGGCCACGCAGGGTCAGAGACAGAAGCCAAACGAGTGAGAGGGCAGACTTCAGAAGGACAGCCCGACAGGCCACAAAGACGCTGCTAGTTACACCTGATTCAGGTAAAGCAGAGGAGCGTGTTCACGGTGAGCAGCTGGGCAGATGCCGTGCGCACAGCTCCCGGGGGGAGGGTGAGCTGGGCTTGCGGCAGGAAGGAAGCTCAGAGAGGTGGAAAGGACTCAGCCGTGGGCTCCACGGCTGAGTGGAGGACCTTTTCCACCCAGGTCTTTCAGGAAGATGCTCTGACAAACCGACAGCAGAAAGTGCCTTTCCGTCGTGCGCTTGTCCTTAACCAGCACTACGTCCTGACCTGCTGAATCAGCCCTGCCACTGGGACACCAGCCAAAGCCCAGCGGAGCCTCCCCAGGGACACACAGCTGGGGCCAGAGAGCACTGGCTATCCCCAAGACCCCACAGAGGCTGCTGGCCTGCGACCCCTCACAGGCAGTTGTTGGGAGGTCAGCAACCTCAGGAGGGTCAGACCTCTGAAGGAGCGCCTAGTAGAGGGCTCCATGGACAGCACCCCTGACTTACCCAAGCTCCCTAAGGTGGGCAGATCTCCGACATGCTTTCCCACGTGTGATTTCATGGAATTCAGACTAAAGTACTGCTAAACCCCAAGGCTGCCTTGGCAAGGGTGAAAGGGGCAAGAAAATGATAAGACCTGCCGTCCCCACACCATGGGTCCACCCTCTACCTGGCCTCCTGCAGAAGGGAGCTTGCACTGCAGGTGGCGTCTGACTCCACAGCCTGCAGCATGACCCGAGGGGCCTGTGCTCAGGGGCAGCACCAAGGTGCTGGGTCAGGCTTTGGAGCCTCAGTCTGGCAGTGGTGAAATGCAGGCGGCAGCGCTGACCTCTAGGGAAACACACACGGGCACTGGGAGGGTGGGAGCCGGTTCTGCCTCATTGCTAAACACCCGTCTCAGTCTGCTGTGAAAGTGGCACTGTAGCCTGGCCGTCGGGGAAGACCCTCACTCTCAACCTGCCGCTCGGTTCTGACCTGGGGGCCCACACTCTGTGCCTCCTGCTGCAGGTTTTGCTCAGAACCAGACAGGACCGCGATCCCATCCCAACGGACTCCAGGAGGGAGGAGAGACCTGCAGCCCCGGGCCCGGCTCCACATTCCTCTTCCCACAGAAAAACCCCTGCCTCGGAATTTCTCAGGAACACATGAAATAGGATTCGGGACTCCAGAGGCGAAGACCTCACCCCTGAGCTAAGACCTGGGCAGCACTGAAGCAACAGTGACCGGCCCGGCCCGGGAGCAGCCAGAGGAACGTCCAGCGAGACAGCAACCTGCCTGTCACGGGAGGAGCCATTGGAACATCCAATAAGTCAGCGACCTGCTCCCTCATGGGAGGAGCCATAGGAATGTCCAATCAGAAAGCGACCCGCCCCTCATGGGAGGAGCCACAGGAATGTCCAATCAGAAAGCGACCCGCCCCTCATGGGAGGAGCCACAGGAATGTCCAATCAGAGAGCGGCCCGCCCCTCACAGGAGGAGCCATAGGAACGTCCAGTTAGACATCAGAGCACAGTCCCACCTCTGAGGGCAGTGCCCCCTCACAGGAGGCAGGTCTAGGGTCCCAGGCAGAGGCTAACCACCCATCAATAACCTCTGCTGGGGTCCTGGGGGTGGGAGGGGTCAGGACGCAGTTGCCAGTCTAAAGTGTTGCTTTAAGGCTACTGAATTACACAAGGCGGTGAATTACCTTGGGCCACCTCCAAATGGTGACAGAGCAGAAAAGGCTAGACTGGGGCTGTGGGAAGGCCACTGTGAGGCCAGTGAGGACGAAGGAACCCCCTTCCTGTGGTTCTCCCATGCAGGGCAGTGCTGCGGATCTGCAGGCCTGGCGCACACAGCTGTGCCCTCACACTGTGGGGACTTTGGCACCTCGGGTGGGGGTAAGGGGGCAGCGACAGTGACCCCATCAGTGGCCATTCCCAGACCCCACAGAGGACACCTCGCGTCCACTTTTTTGTGTGATCTGCACCACAAGCTGGCAGGCACAGAGTACAGACCCGATGCTAGGGGTGAGGCATGGGGCCATGAGGATGCCCACGTCCACCTGCCATCTCTAGAGAGGCACCTGGTTCTTCAGCTCACACCATGAAGGCCCAGAATGAGCAAGGTCACGGATGGGCTAACCAGGGCCGCTGACACAACTGACCTTGCACACGCTATGAACATGAAAGCCCTACCAAAGGCCACGCAGAGTCCGTGCCAGCTCGCGCGTCTCTCACGGGTCACAGGAGAGCCGACGTGCATGAATCCCAATAGAGACAGCTCACCTACCACCAGCGGGACCACAGCACAGGCATCTTGCACCTGCACATCTGGACACAGGGGAACAGCACTAACCCTTCAGGAAGAATCGGGCGACACTGACCTGACCCAGCTCCTCGTTCAAGTCGGACGTGTTGACCAGAGGCCCCTCTCCTGTCTCCTCATCGAACATGTCCTCATCCCAGCTGATGAAGTAGGATCCAAGGAACTTCTGCATCTCCACGGTGACGTACATGGACACGGGGATGATGTAGTTGAAGAGCACCATGAAGGCCAGGAAGTCCGTGAAGGCCCTGAGGAACTGAGCACACAGCTCCTCAGTACCCACGTCCCCCAGGGCCAAGCCTCATGCAGGGTGCAGGCGAGCCAGACTGCCTGCCCAAGTCCACAGTGAGGGCTGCTGGGCAGCAGGCCACGCCTGGTCACATCCTCACCCAGGCCAGGGGCAGACTTTGCCTGTCAACACAAGCGTGCCACCAGGGACACGGCGCCACACAGGCTGACCGGACGGAGATACCAGATTGGAACATCCGTGACAAACAGCAGAACTCACCAAGAGAAAACCTAGGAGATGCCAGAGACGTGAGCCTGGTAAAAGGACCGACCTGTGCGGCTTTATTCCATGTGTGCAGCCAGGTTAGTTTTGGGGAGGGCAGGCTGTTGCACACAGCAAAGACACGGCACGAGGTTTGCACACGGCCCTGCTCTGCCCTCTCTGCCCACAGGCCTGGGCGAGCACACGGGGCAAGGTCTACACACGACCTTGCTCTGGAGTCTGAGCCCCTCTCTCCCTGTGCTTGTCTCAGCAGGTGCCATCTATCCCCAAATCGCTGGCAAGCATTTCCTGAGCACCTGCGAGCACAGGGCACTGGGCAGGTCTGCAGCCCAGGAAGGCCTCTCAGGCATGGTCCTGAACATCTCCCAGGGGGACCAGCGCCCTGGGTGTGTGCTCCTGCCACCCGAGGACGGCTCAGGGTCGATGCCCCACTATGGCAAGGACCCCCCACCATGTGCTGGCAGCAAGCCTGACGGCCACCCCTGCCCTGAGGAGGGCGTCCTCCATACCAGGTTCCGCTGCCTCTCCGACTCGGTCTTCTGGTTGTACCAGGGCTCATCCCGGAAGGGCTCGCTCTGCCACACGTACTTGAGCACAGTGTTGACCAGCGCCTTGCTCACCAGAATGCAGAGGTAGACGATGAGGAACACATTCATTGACCTGCAACGCCACGCCAGAGTCATGCGGGCTCCCTGCCGACGGGGGGCTCCACCGGCCTCTCTCACACAAGGTGGGACAAGCGGGACGTGCGGGCCGTGTTTCCAAGGAGGTACCCGGCTAGTGCCCAGCTGTGTACACTGTATCATCACTAGCTTGGAATCCAGAGACCACAAGGCCAAGAGTCTAGGACAGGAAGACGGTCAGCAGGAGGGATGCTGCACCCAACCCCACTTCTGAGGACGCCACCTGAGCACTATTGGGGCACTGAGCACTGCGGAGGCACTGAGCACTACGGGACACTGAACACTGTTGGGGCACTGAGCACTGCAGGGAACTAAGCACTGTGGGGGACACTGAGCACTGCAGGGCATTGAGCACTCTATAGGCACTGAGCACTGTGGGGCACTGAGCTCTGTGTGGGCACTGAGTACTGTGTGGGCACTGAGTACTGTGGGGGCACTGAGCACTGCGGGGCATTGAGCACTCTATAGGCACTGAGCACTGTGGGGCACTGAGCACTGCGTGGGCACTGAGCACTGCATAGGCACTGAGCACTGTGGGGCACTGAGCACTGTGGGGCACTGAGCACTGCGGGGCACTGAGCACTGTGTGGGCACTGAGCACTGTGTGGGCACTGAGC